AAAACTTCGCGACGATGTGCGAAGTCGCGAAGTGTTACCGCGACTTCACTCATGTGCCCAACCCCACTTCTGAACTTCGAATTTCAAAATCCAAACTTTCCCACCCCCTCAACCACAATCACCCCACCCAACCTCTCAATCTCAACCACCCCCTTCAAATGTTCTTCCATCGTTTGCACGTATAGGTCAACGTTGCGCAAATGCTCTTCCATTTCCTTCCCGCATTTCTCCACTCTTCTTCGTTAGTTAGACTTACGTAGTGCGCCATGACGTCGGGCTCAGCTCCTAGTACTTCGACGAACAACAATCCAGCCTCTGTTCATGGCTCTACTACCGTCAACACGGATCCTGTCGAGGCTGGACTATCTCACCCCATTCTGAAACATTTCCTCATTCCGTTTCACACCAAAGGCAACCCCAAGCTGTGCAAGTCATGTGGCAAGAAGTTCGAGGGCGGAACAAACCGCTGTGCAATCCATCTCGCGACATGGAAAGGGCAGGAGAAGCGCGCTGTGGCGTAATGCAAGGACGCGCCCACGGCAGTCCGCGATCAAGTCCGTGGCATGTACGAGACCAAGGCGGAACAGCAGGACTTGAAGCAAGGGGCGGCCGCTGCTGCAATTCACTCTGCGCTTGACGCTGTCAGTGGAAACCCGAAGAAAAATAGCAAAATTACGGATTTCTTTGGCAATGAGGCGACGTGCGCCAAGGAGGACGCGGATAACGTGTTTTGCCTTCTGTTCGCGGCGCTGAAACTTCCGGAGCGCATTGCGGACGATCCGGTCTTTCGCTACGCGGTCCAGTGCATTGCGCGCGCTGGACCTGGGTACGTCCCTCCTAAGAGGCGCTACATTGGAGGGGCAGGCTTGAAGAAGGTGCGGCAGAAAATGGAGGTCGCGTTCGCCCCCGTTGCCGCGAGCTAGAAGCGGGACGGGGTAACGGTGTCGTCGGACATGATGACCGACCGTTGTGGCCGCCCGCAGGCCAACATACTCCTTGTCAACGACTCCGGCGCAGTTTTCGAGCAGGCGGTGGACTGCAACATGGAGTCGAAGTCCGGGGGGTACATCGCCAGCCTTCTCCGCCCCGTCATTGATAAGGTGGGGCCGAGAGAATGTGGTGGCGGTCTGCACCGATGGCGGCAGCAACTATGCATCGGCCGCCAAGAGGATTGCGAGCACATGGCCGCACATTGAGCATGTGCCATGTGCCACGCATGTCCTGGACCTGATGATGGAAGATATGGGCAAAATGGGATGGGGGAAGAGGCTTGTGGAGAAAAGAGGGGAGATGATTACCTTCGTGCGCAACCACCACTTTACCCGTGCCTATATGAAGAAAGTGGGGGGGAAGCAGGTGCTCAAGCCTGCGGGAACCAGGTTCGGGACACAATACATAGCCATGGCCCGGCTATGTGAGGTGAGGAGTGGGCTGGCGGCGATGGTGCTCAGCAACGAGTGGAAGGTGTGGGCAGCGGCGGACAAGGATAGGAAGACAGCAGCTGAGAAATTCAGGGCTGCTGTGATGGATGAGGAGTGGTGGGGGTGGCGGAGTTCTTTACCTCTCTCATGGCGGTGCCATTCAAGGCCATGCGGGCCACGGACTCTTTCGCGAAAGGCATAATGGGTAAGCTGTATGACATCATGCTACAGCTTACCGAGGACATCAATGACAAGCTCGACGCTTCAAGTGACTTATTGACTCGGACAGAGAGGGCAGACATTACCAAGATTGTGAAGGACAGGTGGGACAACTCCCTTGCCTGCCCCATGCATGTGGTTGGCCGGATCCTGAATCCGGCCAACCAGGAGGAGAGAATTTTCAGGAACGATGTGGAGTGCACGCGGGTGTTCAAGGACTACATCGAGCGCCACTATGACAACAAGACTTTCAAGCGTGGCAAGGATGCCGCCCCTCGCCGCGCCTCCCTTGTGTTGCAGGAGGCATTGCTGGCCTACATCAACATGGAGGGCAGCTTTGGCAAGCCGGGCGCTATTTCTGCAAGGGAGGCAGTGAAGAAGGGGGAGATGAGCATGGTGCAGTGGTGGTCGTGGCACAGCACCGAGTATCCTGAGCTTGCCGCCCTCGCATGCCCGGTGCTCACTCAGCCCGTCTCGGCTTCCCCATGCGAGCGTGGCTGGGCGCAGTGGGAAGGCGTCCACACCACCCGCCACAACCGGCTCGGGTCCGCCAAGTGTGCGGACCTCGTCTACATTGCGCAAAACTAGAACGTTGTGCGCAATTGGTGCAAGAAGGATGGGGCAGCACGGTTGTGTCCGGTAACATCCCGGATGTTCCTATCCCCCCCGGCTATAACATGGATGAGGAGGAGGATGACATGCTGGGGGAAGAAGGAGAGGATGCAGTGCTGGCGGATGAGTATGGAGAAGGTGTGGTGGTGGAAAGGCCCCGCAAGGAAATCGGTTGTGGGGAAGCTAGCTAGAGGGTGGGGTGGGGTGGGGATGTATGGGGAGAAGTAGCCCCAAATATGTATTTCTGGATATTTATGAAATTTAAATTATGACTTGTGTTCTTGGAAAACAATCCCCCCCCCCTCAAACAGGTTTTACCTGCCTGCCCAGCGTATTTTTGCGTATCACCAGTACGCCAGCCCTGACATTACCGCGTACTATACCAGTGTATAATACGCTAGCGTATTATACCCTGGGACGCGTATCTGCCAACGTAGCCCCTGGGGTGCATGGTACCTGCCCTTCTCTTTTTAGTCGACTCAAAAGTCAACTCTCTATGTGCCTCCTGGGCCACATGGTACCTGCCCTTCTCTTTTTTAGTCGACTCAAAAGTCAACTCTCTATGTGCCTCCTAGGCCACATGGTACCTGCCCTTCTCTTTTAGTCGACTCAAAAGTCAACTCTCTATGTGCCTCCTGGGCCACATGGTACCTGCCCTTCTCTTTTTAGTCGACTCAAAAGTCAACTCTCTATGTGCCTTCTGGGCCACATGGTACCCTGCCTTCTCTTTTTAGTCGACTCAAAAGTCAACTCTCTATGTGCCTCCTAGGCCACATGGTACCTGCCCCTTCTCTTTTTAGTCGACTCAAAAGTCAACTCTCTATGTGCCTCCTGGGCCACATGGTACCTGCCCTTCTCTTTTTAGTCGACTCAAAAGTCAACTCTCTATGTGCCTCCTGGGCCACATGGTACCTGCCCTTCTCTTTTTAGTCGAGTCAAAAGTCAACTCTCTATGTGCCTCCTAGGCCACATGGTACCTGCCCTTCTCTTTTTAGTCGACTCAAAAGTCAACTCTCTATGTGCCTCCTAGGCCACATGGTACCTGCCCTTCTCTTTTTAGTCGACTCAAAAGTCAACTCTCTATGTGCCTCCTAGGCCACATGGTACCTGCCCTTCTCTTTTTAGTCGACTCAAAAGTCAAATCTCTAATGTGCCTCCTAGGCCACATGGTACCTGCCCTTCTCTTTTTAGTCAACTCAAAAAGTCAACTCTCTATGTGCCTCCTAGGCCACATGGTACCTGCCCTTCTCTTTTTAGTCGACTCAAAAGTCAAACTCTCTATGTGCCTCCTGGGCCACATGGTACCTGCCCTTCTCTTTTTAGTCGACTCAAAGTCAACTCTCTATGTGCCTCCTGGGCCACATGGTACCTGCCCTTCTCTTTTTTAGTCGACTCAAAGTCAACTCTCTATGTTCCTCCTGGGCCACATGGTACCTGCCGTTCTCTTTTTAGTCGACTCAAAAGTCAACTCTCTATGTGCCTCCTAGGCCACATGGTACCTGCCCTTCTCTTTTTAGTCGACTCAAAAGTCAACTCTCTATGTGCCTCCTGGGCCACATGGTACCTGCCCTTCTCTTTTTAGTCGAGTCAAAAGTCAACTCTCTATGTGCCTCCTAGGCCACATGGTACCTGCCCTTCTCTTTTAGTCGACTCAAAAGTCAACTCTCTATGTGCCTCCTAGGCCACATGGTACCTGCCCTTCTCTTTTTAGTCGTACTCAAAAGTCAACTCTCTATGTGCCTCCTAGGCCACATGGTACCTGCCCTTCTCTTTTTAGTCGACTCAAAAGTCAAATCTCTATGTGCCTCCTAGGCCACATGGTACCTGCCCTTCTCTTTTTAGTCAACTCAAAAGTCAACTCTCTATGTGCCTCCTAGGCCACATGGTACCTGCCCTTCTCTTTTTAGTCGACTCAAAAGTCAACTCTCTATGTGCCTCCTGGGCCACATGGTACCTGCCCTTCTCTTTTTAGTCGACTCAAAAGTCAACTTTCTATGTGCCTCCTGGGCCACATGGTACCTGTCCTTCTCTGTACGCACATGCGCTCTCTCGCTCCCCTCATCCATGATAATGCATGTGCTCGCCTCTATTCTCTCCTCCATCCTCCATCCTCCACCCCCATTTTGCACTGCCCTTCTCCATCGCCCATAATTTTTCCTCCGAGAAACAGATCGCATCTCAACCGATGATGGCCATGCAACGCGCACAGTGTCCACTATGGCAGCAGGTGTGTGGGGTTGGGGCACATTCTACCTATTTCTATGCTGGTCTGCCCCCCCTCTTCTTGGTCTGCATGTGCCTGTGTTGACCATTTCGAGACATACTACTTGTTCCACCTATTTCTTCCGCAGACCCTTATTTCTCTTGCCTGGTTGTCCCATGTGTCAACACAACACCCTGGTGCCACATTCCAAGTACGTTGATTGAACTTTTGAGAATTCTCAAAAGTTCAATCAACGTAGGTAAACTTCTTCCACAGACCCTTTGTTCCTCCTGCCTGGTTGTCCCATGTGTCAACACAACACCCTGTTGTCACATTTCAAGCAGGTCTGATCCGAAACCTACCTGCCTCCTTCCCTGCCTCCGTACCCCCTCCCTGCTTTCCCTTGAGCGAATCACAGGAGCAAGCAGCGGGGGCTCTTGCAACCATTCTGACCCACCCACCTGATGTGGTGAGCAACAAGCATTGAGCACTGAGGTGTGAGTTTTGAGTTCACTCGAAACGAGGCGCGTTTTGAGCTCACCAAAAAGCCGCTCTCCCAACCATTCTGACCCACCCACCTGATGTGGTGAGCACTGAGCAGTGAGCATTGGGGTGACTTTTGGGTCCACTCAAAAGCTGCTCTTGCAACAATTCTGAACCACCCACCTGATGTGGTGCGCATTAGTCACTGAGCTTTGCTGATTGAGCAGTTGTGAGTTAGGTATCCCTACATTGACTGCAACCATTCACAGGAGCAGCAGCGGGGACCCTCGCAACCATTCTGACCCACCCGCCTGCGTGGTGAGTGTTGTTCACTGAGCTTTGCACATTGAGCATTTGCGAGTGAAATCTTCACTCACATTTTTCCGAGCGTTTTCACGCACTGAGTACAGTTAAGACATGATGAAAGCATGAGCACGTGAGTAGGCATGATGACAACACTGCCTAGCTTGCATGCAATCTCCTCTTCTTGTCAGTGCATCTCTATTTCTTCTGGTCTCGCCAAGTGAACGATTCAGTTCATTTGTTTTTTCCAATGAACGGATTCAGTTCATCTGTGCTCATTTGCTCCCCACCTGGTGTTCTCTTCGCCTGTGTGTTTGCATCTCGACTTCAGTTGTGAACCCACCTGCATGAGAGTGACTGTGTTTTGAGAGGTCTCAGACCAGATCTATCTTCATGTCCCCATTCGGTTCATCTAAGCTCATCTGATCCCCACCTGCTCTTGAGTCGACTCAAAAGTCATCTGATCCCCATCTGCTCTTCATGTCAGCTGCATGTGTGCTTTCGTCTTTCCTCTTCAGGTGCGAACCCATCTGCAGCTGGCCTCTCTGCGTGCGACACCTGGCAAGCCGCTGACCATGCTCGGTGCCACGTCAGCCATCTACAAGGTAGATGGTAAAAACAAGGATGGTGAAATTTCTATATGTTTATTTCGGCACCTCAATAGTCGTTTCTTGTTCGCACTTTTGGTCCCATCCATTCGATTCTTCCATTGCCTCTGTTCCATCTGTCCCCCACCCACTCCCCCCCCTCCCCCCCCCCTCGCCGTGTCCCCCATCTCCTCTGTTTCCTCCTCCCTCTTCCCCCCACCCACCCACAGTCGCAGGGTCTTCCTGGTTTCTTCCGAGGGGTGGTGCCGCGTGTGCTGAAGCGATCAAGTGCAGCAAGCACTCACATGGTGAGTGTACGTGTGGTCACGTGACTTTTGAGATTGTTGACCATCAGATGATCAGGTTGACTTTTGAGTGAACTTGGTCAAGTGCAGCAAACAGTCACATGGTGAGTACTCGTGTGATCATCGTTGTCTGCCCTCGGCCTTCCCGCTCCGTCGATTTGCTTCTCCTTGCCCCGTGATATCTCCCCTTTCCCTCCCCCTCCTTTCCCCCCTCGGATATATAAATATCTATCTATATCTATATATATTGCTATTTTTAGATTGTTGCGATGACCATGTGTTTCTTTGCCTCCCTTGGGCCTTGGTGTTGCATGCAGGACTCTCTTTGAGCGCCTCTCCTCCGTTCTCTCTGGAAGGACGCTTTGGGACCGGAAAGATGCTGGGCCGGCGAGGAGAACAGGCGTATGAAGTGGCATTTACTGCTCATTGTGCATAATATAACACCATGTGAGAAGCATTTTTTATAATAATATACTGGTTTACCGTATATTCTTTTGTTGTTTAGTAGTTTCTCTTGTGTATCAGAATTAAATCCCCGTTAACACCCAAGCCGGAAGTTTACCCAAAGCATACCCAAACCAAACCTGTCTAAGCCTATCAAGCGTCACCAAGCCAAACCCGAAGCAACAACGGTTTGCAAGATTCCATTGTGCCGTGGCGCGATTCCTTCCCGAAGCGACACCTCACGTCGACCCACACTCGATGCCCTCCCCCCACTCATCACCCCACACTCGACTCCCCCTCACCTCATACCCTGCCTGCACTACCTAGTTCCACATGCACCTGCCATATTTGCACACCTTACCATTTTCGGGAAAAAGTCTTAGTTTGTTCGCTACGTTCGATAACTTCTTGAAGCGTGACTTTCACTTGGACGACATGGCGGAAGGCAATTACCCTGAGTTGGGTCAATGGACCTCTGGCTGGTGCGGCTGTTTCGAAGATATGAATTCATGTAACTTTTTCCGTTTTTTTCGTGAGGACATGAAGCAGTTTATGTTTTTTTTCGTCAAAATCAATCTCCTTTTTATTCTTCGCCCTGCGTCCATGTTACAGGCTGTCTCGTCCTTTGGTGTCCCTGTCTAGCCGTTGCCGAGTCGCTAACTTCGTGGACGCAGGCAAACAAGGTAGGCAAACAGCGTTTCAGTCTTCTTTCCTTTATTTCAAACCTATTATGCTCTATCGCGGAAAGAAAAGAAAAAAGGACGATGTGAGACGAAAATGAGAAGTAATTATGTGAGACGAAGATGAGAAGTGATTATGTGAGACGAAAAGGCGAAGGGACTATGTGAGACGAAAATGAGAATGGC